AACTTGTAAAATCGACTCCTAATAATAAGTAATAATTATTATTAATATTTAAAATTCTTATCTATGTATTTCCCCAACGAAACATCAAATAATTTTTCAATTAATGAAGAAAAAAGTGTAAAAAAAAAGCTAGTATAGTAGTTATTACAGGCCATTACACACTTTTTAATTTCGTATTCCACACTTAGTATTTCGTACTACACACAATTTTAGTCCCTGCGCGTAAATATAAATATTATACTCGAGTACACACTAATAGTAATAATATCAATAATATCGAGTGCGTGACCGCATGAGCGGCGTGCGACGATAGATATATGACACGTATATGAATAATCCTAAGAAATAATATAGTTTAGATTTGTGCTGTTATGCATTGTTTTTACATACTATATTGTTACATTACATACAGCCAGAGTTGAGATGTTTAAAACATTTTGTTTTAAACACTTGTTTAAAACATGTTTTAAACATCTAAATTGATCAAACATGGTTTTGTTTAAAACGTTTAAAACAAATGATTTAAACAACATAAAAAAAACAGCTAGTTTAAAACAGAAAATCATAGTTTATGCGCATATAACTTATTATTTGTAAGTTCGTACTGGCAACTCCTATTTATTATTATTTTTTAATTCATAAACAAATTTAAAATTTATAAAATGTATAATGATAATTTTACTTATTTAAATTACTAACACTTCAATGGTTATATAATATATTATTTCTGTAGTTCTGTAGGTAATATATTTATTAATTATTTATTTATTAAAAACTTCACTATAATATTTCCAAATGTCATCACGTCTTCGTCCCGTGAACATGTGTTTTATCTTTTAAGTTTTATTTTGTTTCACACTGTCGCTAATGTAGTATTGTAGTAATGTCAGATGCAGAAGAATAACTCAATAACATCAAAATTAAATTTCATTGATATCATATCATATTATTATTTAATATTTTTTACCTTTATCATATTTTATAATCGGAAATATTGTGGCGCAAACCCACCAAAATTTAAAATAGTAAATACAGTAATCAGTATTCTTTATCACGATGTAGATAACAGATCAGTTCTTTATCATCAATCTTATCAAAATATTCAAAAACGATTTTTAAGTGTAAAACCGATAGCTGTGGTTAAATTACACGTCAAGTTATAAAAAAATTATGATATTAAATTATTAAATAAATGATTTTTTTTTTAAATAAATTACATATTTTGTTTTAAACTCGATTAAATCATGTTTTAAACATGTTTAAAACAGCTGAAAAAATCATTTTAAAAAAACATGTTTTAAACAAAAAAATCATGTTTTAAACGATTAAAACAATTTTTTTGATTTTTTTAAAAAAATCATGTTTTTAATCAACTCTGCATACAGCTGTAGAACTTCGATTAACCGTACTGTCGGGACCGGGGCTATGACGGTTAATCGAATATACGGTTAACGGAAATTTTGCAAAAAAAAAACGTGTAAATACATATACATACACACATTTATTATATTTTATATTTATCATATTTTACGTGTGTACTTTAAAAAAAAAAAAATACTTACATTGTAACAAATTATAAATATACATACCACACACATTATAATAAAAAATCTGTCATTTTAGTTTGTTTTTTTGATTCTCTAGCTTTTTTTTAGCAGCAATATTACGTATTTGACGTAGAAGTTAGACTTGCGTAGCATTTTGTAGCACTTGATAGTTACTGTGTTGGCACGAGTTTATCGCGATCGTCTAATTATTTTTTTTTCGGCGGTGACCGATGACGGATAACAGAGAGTGACGGTTAATCGAAGTTCTACTGTACTAGGAAAAATTTTCGAGTCGAGTTCGATTACTTGACTCGACTCAACTAAACATTTTTTAGATTCTGAGCGGAGAATTACTTTGGAGTTTTACAATGATGTATGTTTTTTTTTATATTTTAGATTCTGAGCGGAGCGATGAATGTATTGGTTTTACAATGATGTATGTTTTTTTTTATATTTTTATTTATATTTTTATTTATATTTTTGTGTCTGTCATCACGTTTTAGGACAGTAAAAATGCTTGGATTTTCTTCATCAGTAGCTTTTCTGGTAGGAAAGTGAATCTAGTTGGTACTTTGGGGGGTCAAAAGTATAAATTTCCCAGTAGTTTTCACAAGCGCCGGGAAAAACAACATAAAAATTAAGGAAAAACAGGAATTTTTACGCAAAATTGGTTTTCCAAAAAATCGATTTTGGTTATTGGTGTAACTCTAAAACAAATGAACGTATATACATGAAATTTTTACTGGTTGTTTATATTTGCATTTTCTATACACGATAACATTTTCAAAATATTTTGATTTATTTTGAACTGTTTAGGGACATTTTCATTTTCCATTTTTTTTTAGTTTTTTTTCTAAAAATATCAATAAAATTTTATTTATTGGTTGCGAAAGCTTGAAAATTTAATAGAAGGTTCCTAATATGTTTTTTAAAAGGCAGATGAAAAATATTAAAAATCCTTAGTCACAATTTTTTTTTATAAGCATTTAAAGTTCAAAAATTGACAAAATATGGGAAAATCACGAAAATTAGCAAATTATTTTGAGTTAAGAATTCGTAAAAATTTTTCTATTTAAATCTAAGATTTGAAAATGAAACACAAGATTCCTTATAAGATTATCTACCTTTATCAATAAAAAAATCTCTACCGGACAGTCAAATTAAATTTTTATGAGCGTTTGAAATTCAAATTTTTACAACATTGGATTTTCACTCGATTACTCATGTAGCGATTTCCTTATTTTGTTGCAATTCAAAAACGAACAACTGTAGATACATGAAAATTTCACTGAATGTTTAAATTAGCATTTTCTATACACCATACAATTTTGAAAATATTTTGACTCTTTTTGAGCTGTTTATGGACATTTACAGCTTTCAATTTTTTTTAGTTTTTTTTTCTATAAATATCAATTAAGGTGTATCTGTTGGGCCAAAAAGTGTAAAAATTTAATACAAGGCTCCTGATATATTGTTACAATATCAGTTGAAAAATATTAAAAATACATAGGCATGATTTTTTTTTATAAGCATTTAAAGTTGGAATTTTGACAAAATTTATCAAAATCTCGAAAATTATCAATCGTTGGAATTAAAAAATTATAAAATGTTCAGTTTTTATAACTAAGAGTTGAAAATTTAAAACAAAGATTCTCTTAAATAATTCATACTGTAACCAAAAAATCTAAAAAATATATAAACACACTTATTTTTTACAGACATTTTAATTTCAAATTTAGACAAAATTTCATAGTTAAACCAAGAATTACGATTTTAGTTATTTTGTTGTGATTGTATAATTTTATTCGTGGGTACTTGAAATTTCTAAAGTAATCTACTATATATATCTATGATAGTATCAGGGTTTGTTGTTGGTGTATAAGGGCCGGGCCACACTATCCGTTTTCACCGGTCCGTTGGTAACCGGTGAAAACGGATACGTTAGCTGATAAAAACGAAACACATTGATATGAATATAATTGGCCACACTGTCCGGTGCGCAACGTTCCGTCGTCCGTCAGCCGGATCGCAACGCAACATGCTGCGTTGAAAACGGATACCGGATAACGTTTTATTTATTGTAACACGTTGTTTTTGATGACAGTGGACACATTGTCCGTTTTTAACGCATCCCGCGTGAATCCTAGTTCCTAGGCGCCAGGCCACATATATATTTTAAAATTGTTTTTTAAGTTCTCTAATGATGGATACAGATAAATTAATACAAGCTGTACATGGACAAAGTGCTTTGTGGGAAATTAGTTCCAAAGAATATATGAACGCCAATATAAAAAAAAAAAGTTGGGCCGAAGTAGGTTGTCTAATGTACCCTGATTGGAACGAAAAACAGCAACAGGAAAAAGATGAAACAGGTAATTATACAATTTTTTATTGGACACTTTAACTTATAATTATATTTATTTTTTTACTAACTAACACAATAAATGTTTAGAGGAGAGGGTATTAGGTAATTTGTTGAAAAAAATTAACTTCAGTGACCTACCTATTAACATTAAGTGTATAAAAGTTTAAAGTTAATGTGAAGACAAATATTAATTCAACTTAGCTAAGAAAAAGATAGTTATTATTTTTTTTTTTATATCTAACACCTGTCTTAGGTCACACATTTAGTGATAATGTTTTTTTTCTAAATTATAACTAAATATTTAGTTAAAAGTCCATCCTTTTATATTACTTTTTTCGTAAACTAGTTTTGGTAGTTTAGCTTTAAACAGATACATTCTTGTGGTTTGTGTCTAACTATGTCTTAACTAAATAAAATAGGCATTTAAAATTTTAAATCATTCTGTAAAGACCATAATATACCTATTATCTATTGAATAAACAAATAGTAATGAATCAATTAGTTTACAGTACCAACTAAGTTAAGTCAATAATTTTTATAAACATAGTTATAATAAAAAAAACGCATATTTATGTTGTATAGAAAAATTAATACACATAATATCTTAATTCTTTTGCATAAACATAATTATCATTCTTATTTTACATAATATACTCTAGGTTAGGTTAGTTATAATTAAAAAACACCTAAAAAGTAATACGCCTTGGCAGTAATAATACAATTTTACTTTATTTAACATAACAAAGAAAATTTTAAACATACAAAATAAGTTGGTACCTACCTACCTCCTCATTTTATATTTTATACTAAATCAAACAAATTAATTCATATTATTACATCATAATATAACAATGACATATACACAATATTATACCTATACATATTCAATTTTATACCCAATTTTATATTAATACTTATTTATTTACTTCAAGCATCAAAATTATTTATTGAATAAAACATACAGTATTCTGTAAATCATAAAAGGTTTTACAATTATTACCTATTATAGTTTAACTATCTATACAATTTGTATAATTACCTACTTTATTTTTAATTTGAAAATATAAAAATCAATGGTTTTTAAAAAGTTACATGTTATTATACTGAAATGGTACAGCTCCAGGTCCCATAAAATAATTAGCAAAGTAATCTCTTACAGCAATTCCTTGTGATCGAGAACCTGTAGCATGTGCTTCAACGTCATCCAAAGAGTGGGTTTCTGCATCATCATTGTTATACCCATCTCTTACTCTTACAAAGTTGTGCAACATGCAACATGACTTGACTATTATATCAGTGAAATCTGGTTCAACCTGTATTGGAGTATGTAAAATACGCCATTTGTTGGCTAAAACTCCAAAAGCACATTCGACCATGCGCCTGGCTCGTGATAGGCGATAATTAAATACTTTTCTCGTTAATGTTAAACCACGTCCTGGGTATGGTCTAAGAAGATTGATATGAAGTGCAAATGCTTCATCTCCAATGAAGACAAATGGTTGAGGATTATCATTAACATTAGGTAAGCAAACTGGGACTGGAATATTAAGTTGGTTTGAATAGAGTTTCTTTCCAAATGGACAATTTTTGAAGACACTTGAATCCCCTTCCTTTCCATAAGCTCCGACATCTATTGCGGTAAAGCATAGATTTGAATCTACTACTGCCATTAATATGATAGAAAAAAATTTCTTGTAATTGTAAAAGTTTGAGCCTGAATTATTAGGATTTTTACACCTGATGTGTTTGCCATCAATTGCTCCTAAACAGTTTGGAAAATTAGTTTTGAGGTAATATTGTTTTGAAATCTCAATCCACTTTTCATTTGTTGGCTGAGGCATTTCTGTTGGTTGTAAAATCGTCCATATGACTTGACAGGTTTCAAAAACTATACAGCTGATTGTACTTTTACCTAAGTTAAAGTCAAATGTGAGTGCCTTAAAAGATAAGCCAGTTGATAAATACCTATAAAAAAAAAAAAAAAAATTTAAAATAAGATAAAATTACTATAATTACTAGCAGAAGTTCAGAAATATCCATTTCTTAAGTTTGGTGTTGGCGTTTTAGAGACAGTATCATTATAATATATAAAACAATAATTAATGCAATTAATATTTCTAGAGAAAGCTATGAAAAATACTTGGCGTCATATCAGAGATAACTACATGCGATATTTAAACCAAGGAAAAAGTGGCGATTCAGCAAAATCAAGAAAAAAATACATATATGCTGATTCGTTATCTTTTTTGCAACAATCTCTCGTAAAAAGAAGGTGATTTAAATTAAATATTGAATTTTACTAGTCATTATCTAATCATATATACCATCATTGATTTATTTTGTATTATTTTTTGATACAATTGCTAATTATAGGACAAGTGGAAATTTTGAAAATATTGAAACACCATCATTGGAGCATGATTCAATTGCTGAAAATGATAGTGATTTAAATCTAAACATTAGTAGTGATTATGTTAATGATTTAAATTCACAACCATTAGAACCTCAAACAGAAAACATAAGCCAAAAACAACGATCACCCTCGGCAGCTCGGCAATCAAAAAGAAATGTACCTCAAACAAATGCATTTCAATCACAGTTATTGGATTTGTTGAAAGAACCTGAGCTTAATATTTTGCAAGATCCCGATAATATGATGCTGTTGTCGTTTTCACCGAAATATAAAAAATTAAACGAAGACCAGAAAATAGATTTTCAAATGCAAATGTTACAATTTTTTAAAAATATTAATAGACCTATGCCACCGTTATTTAATCAACCAATAATACAAGAAATAGAACAACGTCACTTGTATCGCCCTCCTATATCAGCAAACAATCAGACAACACAGTCATATAGTCTAGCAGATCCTTATTCACAATTTTTAACACATTCTCAAAATTCATACCAGCCCTTGTAAACCAATTTAGTTTTGATTTTATATAGGTATTTATTTTGTTGTTAAATAATTCACCACTTTTTTAATTATGTTGTTATAGTATTCTATTAATAGGACTATTTTTTTTTTTTATTGTGTTTAAAAAGAAAGTTATTATAAGTTTTGTTTTTAATTTTTTTTAGAACTTTTATGTAATATGTTGTTACTGTTACTATGAAAAGGACAAACTATTTTTTATTTTTATGTTTAAAAAGAAAGATATTATAAGTTTTGTTTTTAATTTTTTTTATAACTTTTATATAATATGTTGTTACTGTTACTATGAAAAGGACAAACTATTTTTTATTTTTATGTTTAAAAAGAAAATCATTATAAGTTTTGTTTTTAAATAATTTTACAACTTTTAGAGGTACTATGTTGGTTATTGTTTGTATTAAAAGGACAATTTGGAAATAATACTTAAATATTATGTTTCAATAAAGTACGCCCAATAAACTAGTTATTTTTTTTTGTTTTTAAATACTTAACAAAACTATACAAGCAGAATTTTGAAAAACAACCGATGGAATTATTATAGGTAATAATAGTTTTCATATAATATAAAGGACACAAAATATGCAAAAAGAAACAAAATTCAATAACATTGAAACATGAATATGCTGAGATATATTATGTACACATTTTTTGTGTTTTAAAATGAAAAATAACAGTGGTTTTTACACATTTTCCGGAGTGAACACTAGTATTTGAATTTGATAACTAGTATGATTGTAGTAATAGGGTTAAATGCAAATTGTATTTTACTATACTATATCTTATATATTCTTACAGGTTTTATTATGTTTATTACATGTAATACACTTTACAATTGTAATTTTAATACTTAATATGATATATTAACAAAAGGTTACTATCCTAGCTCACACCATAGTAAAATATTAAAAAATCAATTGCTTCGGTTATAGACTTAATAATTGAAAAACATATTTTTGACTGCATATATACATATATAATAAATCCATCATAGTTATATTATTATAGTCTACTTTCTTTTGACATTTTAGTACTATCCGTCTATCCATGATATGTACTTTATTTAATTATAACTATAATAATAAGAACTTAATTTATTTATTAAACATTAAATCAGCACTCACAAACACTATAGTGTTTAAATACCTACACCATCAACTAAAACATTTGTAATGTTTTCCTTGGTACCTCACTACCAGGGGCGGACAGGCAGGGCGGGTAAGTGGCCATACCCACCCAGGCCCTCTAGAAATTTTATGTTTGGACCTCGAACTACATTTGTTATTTTTAATAATTTTTAAATTCCACACCGTAATCATTACCGCAAAAATGAAGAATACAATAATATAACAATTAACAATAGGTACTATTTACAAAAATTAAACAACTGGAAGCTGCGAAGGCTATGAAAGTTATTTTAGATTCATTTTTGGAATTTATTGTGTAACGAATATGTGTAATTTAATAATTTTTTAAAACAATAATAGTAATTAATAATTTTTTAAAACAATAATAGTAATTACTAATTAGTATTAAAAATAGTATTTAAATTAAAAACAATACATTTATTTTTGAATTTTATTTTATTTGTATTGAAAAAGATTTAAGATTTTAATATTGAAGTAACTTGTTTTTTTATTATGTTAAATTTAGTTGAGTAATAACTACAGAATTGTTTTAATTTTGTTATAAGTTCCTTAAAAAGTTATTTTATTTAAAATAAACATTGTAACATGAGTCTTTTGTTTGGTAGTTTTAAAACCTATACCCAACTGGACCTTACGTGCCTCAGATTACCCCTGCTTACAACATTATTATTCTTTTTAGTATTTTATATGAATATTGAAAATGCATACACAGTTATAGCAAAGGTTATATCTTTTTAATTAATTATAAATTAGACCCAATAATGAATACAATTTAAACATTTTTTATTTTCAAAAACTCAATTTGAAAAATAACAATGTCTTCTTACATCCGCAGTAAGGTTGAATATGGAACCGTGCCTTATCTATAAAAAATCTTAATTGGCAAAGTGTGTTGAAGTGCAAAAAAAATAGCCACTGATTAATGATTATAATACATTAGTGTATACTATAAATACCTATATAAATTGAATGCTCTTATAAATAGGTAAATTCTGTTTAATAAATAGGTAGGTATGTACTTACCTCAAAGTAACTGATAACCTTTCTTCTACACTGATAGGCATTCTAAGTACAGTTATTTTCTTTGTAATACTTTCACGTATTCGGCCCAATAATTCGTCAAAAGTTTTTATTGTCATACGAAAATATTCGAAAAACTTTTCAGGATATTGCCGTATGTTTGAATAAAAATATTGAAATTGTGCTTCACGTTCTCGATTTAACGGATGCACCCAATATCGTCTGTTTATTGGAGACTTTTCTTCATTTAAAAAACCTTGTGCTTCCAATAAGCAAATGATTTTAATTTTCTTTTGTTTATTCATATTAATTTTTGTTTAAATTAGGTTTAATTTGTTTTTTGAAACAAGTACGTTAAAAGAAAAATAAACGATGAAGTACCTGCAAGAGCACAGCACAAAATATGACAAATTGAATTTAAATTTTAATTCGTCGTGCAAAATATGTTGTGTGGAATGTGGACATGTGGTACAACGCTATCAGTAACATAATTTTGGTGGGAAATGGGATTAATGTTTTGAAATATGGCGGGAAAACTTTACGTCAATAAAAACGGATTACAAAAACGGATGGTCTGGCCGCCAAACCACAATCCGGTAAAAATGCATCCGTTTACCAACGCGACAAACGGACCGGTGAAAACGGATAGTGTGGCCCGACCCTAACGCGTTATAAGTACCTAATGGATATTGTGATATGATTAATTTGGAATTCATTATAGGTCAATTTTTTTAATACCATAGATATGTATATAATATGTCTTATACCTAGAAGGACATACCGTCTCCGCTCAGAATCGTTTTTCTTATACAATGATATTATATCATTGAATTCAAATTTAATACTATCCATTATACAATGACCCACTTGTAACCTACTGTACAGCAGAGCGACACCCACTTGCCCACCTTTTTGTACTCGTATCACTATTTATATTATTAAAAATTTAAAATACTAGTACTACTACTTTGAAAAATAAATGTTAAAATTATTTAATTAATTAATTTAATTTAATTTAATTTAATTTAATAAAAAATTATTTATTATTAATTAATTTTTTTTATTACCTAGGTATTCAATATTATTTTTTACACTTTTACAGCTGTATCCAACTATTAGTTATAACTTATAGATATGGGGATTTTTTTTCCGGGGATTTTTTTTCCTGTGGATTTTTTTTCCTGTGGATTTTTTATCCGGGGATTTCCTAGATTCGTAAAAATACAGTACACCACTCTACCATAGAAGTGTATGTATGTTGTTGTTGTCCGATATACAGAGTGTAACAGAAAGATATGACAAATGAAATAACTTGTATTCTAATCCATATTTTTTCATTTTTTTCAGTGGCTGATCGTGTATATGTGCAGTGGCGTAGCCAGTATTATGAAATGGGGGGCGTTTAAGTATAGATTAAAACCAAGTTTTTACAGTTTTCGTGTATAAATAAATTTAGGGTTCGGGACTTGACTTGTTGCACTAAATATTATCGAAATATGATGCAGTCAAAGTTGTCAAAATATTCTTAAATATATACAGCAATGTTTTTATATTATTTTTGAAAAATTCATAAAACACACTACAATTTTGGTAATAAAAAACTAAAAAACAAGTAGGTATATAAATAATTTATACACGGGCTTACTAATTTTAATATAGGTAGGTACCTATGTCCTATATATTGATTAATGTGATGGACGGAGTACACTATATTGCATGTTTTGGACATTTTTAAACTATTGCATGTGAAATGAAATTTGATTTTTAAAAATACTGGCATAAAATACTAGGTTAATAAATGAGTAATAAAGAATAACGTGATATGCGAACACCGTGATAAACGAACACGTATCTACTAATTTTCATTTCTTCATACAATCTAGAATTTAAATAATATAAATTAGTCTAAATTTTTCCTAGTATGTAATGTAACAATATAGTATGTAAAAACAATTTTATTGTATATAACACCACAAAAGTACAATATAGATATATGTAGACTTCCGGCGCGTGCAAGCGTGTGAATCACGTTAGGCTTAACCGCAGGACCATGCAGTGGCGTAGCCAAGGGGGGGTTTTGGGTGTTTAAACACCCCCCATTGAAATTTTCCCCGCTAATAAATATATTGTTTATATTGTTCGGGACTGCTTGCATGTTTTATTGTTGTGGTCGTGGATTATTTTATATAAGTTATAAATTTGTCTTATGAAATTTTTTATGTCTTATCAAACAAAATTTGCATATTTTAGGAAAAGTGTACATTTGAGCGATTTTTCGCATATTTTGCATTTTTTTAACTTAAATGTACATACAATTGTCGGGAAAAATCATATTTGGATAACATTGAAAAATATTATGTTTGGTTAGGTACAATATAGGCGCTAATTTTGAGATTTGGGGAGGCCGTAGCCTAAGACCATACTATTATAAAATTGAATAAGCTTAAAAAATTTAAGGTAATGTTTTGGAGGGCTGTTGTTAGCTGTTGAGGGTTAAAGTTGTTGGTGGAGCTAGGCTACGGTTGGCCCTATTTTCGCATATGGTACGTAACATAAGTCTATATAATCTATAAGTCTCTTTATGACAAGACTGTGTTAATACTATAATTGACAGCTAGATTCTAGATTGAAGAAATGAAAATCAGTAGATACGTGTTCGTTTATAAAGGTGTACGCATATTATCGCGTTATTTGTTATTACTTATTTATTAACCTATAGTACCAAAATTGTAGTATGTTTAATGAATTTTTCAAAAATAATATAAAAATGTAGCTGCATATATTTAAGCATATTTCGATAATTTTTAGTGCAACAAGTCAAAATTTATTTATATTCGTAAACTGTAAGAACTTGGTTTTAATCTATACTTAAACACCCCCCCCCCCCCATTTCATAATCCTGGCTACGCCACTGGGACCATGTATGGTCTTAGAATTTATGGAAGGGACAAGGGACAGAGATCCATCGAGGAGAACTGATGGACAAGCGTTCATCAGACGAACAACCAGCCTCAACTTGAACAGTCACTAATTACTCGATAGTCACATCTCGCTTAAGTCATAAACATAATTATTTGGACTTGTCTATTTTCCATAATAACTGTTTTACACAAAATAAATACAATTATTGCCATCAAAGAGGAGTTATTAAATTTATACTTCCATTTCTACGAGTAACTCGGAGTAGCACGTTACACTATATACAGTGGTGTATTGCTAAATAAATGTATGGGTATACGCACCTAAAAGTTGTTGAATATACCTATATATATATCTATATATAACTACTTTAAAAAATTTTCTCGCTCAGCTAGAAAAATCATTACACTTAATATTTAATAATCTTTTATTTCTTTATTACAAACACTAAGCTTTCATGTGTATATGTATTATGTATATGCAGCGGCGTATATAGGGGGGTTCACCCTATATTCACCCCCACCACGAAATTAATTTCCCATTTACGAAACTGCGTGTAATATTATGTACCAAGTATCCGTATTAACGTATTATTTTTTTTTAATAATTCAATTCATCAATACAACTTTTTGTTATCAAACTTAAAAAAACTGTTCAGTATAATGGACTATACTAATAAAATAATAAACAACTTTAGATAATATACAATATTTATTAATCTATATTATCTATTAATCTATGTTAATAACATATCAAAATTTAAATATTATAATAAATCATTTTAACGGCAGTTTCCGATCATCTTCGCCAGAACCAGAAGTCGGGTAAAATTTAATCGAACTTCATGCGGGTACGGGGCTATTTTTGGACAGTGTACTTAATGTCATAATAAAATATTACTGTATTCATTTGTTTATTATTATTATTTTTTTTTTAAAATTTTATTTGGTGATAATATGACTGAATTGTCTGTCATAAATTGGAAGCGTGAGTATACCCATAAAAGACTAATTTTTTTAAAGGTATACGCATAAATTCAAAAATAGGGATCCTGGTATACGACGTATACCCGCGTATACCCTCCAATACACCACTGACTATATAGTATGATAAAAAAGTATACAATCGATATTTTGTTTGCCTGAAGTCGGTGGGCCTAGTGCAATCGTCCCACTTGTCCTTGCATAAATATGGCACTGACCGTAAGTCAGAAAAAGATGTTGAATTGTTAGTACCTATCCGTTGGTCGTACAAAACCAAAAATCTCTGTAGATTTACCAAACAATAAAAATCGTCCGATTGCAAGTACCATAGTTCCGGTCGTGTTCTACCGCGAAAACAAATTGGACGTCGGTTTCTAACAATTAAACAGTGTGTCACGTGATGAGACGTGATGTACATATTATATGTACGCCTTGAGATAATTGGTAAATGAAACTCAAAAGTATGTAGGTAGATAGGTACCTATATTCTCAGTTATTTTAAATCATAATATAAATAAAATGCACAGCAATATAATATCTGATTTATTTATAAGTTAGGTGTATATATGGCAATGTCATTCTATAAAGAAAAACTTCTGAGCAACGATTTATTTTCTAGTTATAATACCGTTTTCAGTAATTTTGTTAATCCCTATAAAGTTAACATTTAATAATATTACATTCTTAATTTCTTATCATGATAAGTGCCTATTGAAATAAATAATAGTAGGTATAAAAGAAAATATGATCATGTCAAATTAATATTGTATTAGGTGGGTGCATAAAAACTATTTTTTGCATAATAATATGCTTTACTGCGGGGCGGGGCGGACTGGGACGGGTCCGGCCCACTTTCCAAGTTTATTAGCGGCCTTAGGTGTTTTAGGCCAATTTTTTTTTCTATAATTGTGCTTATGAACTTATACACGATGTATAACAGAAACACCTGACACATTGAATAGGTAACTTTTGTCCTAATCATTTAAATATTTATTTTAAATAATTTATAGACTTTTGTAAGTACAGTACAATATTTATAACACCGATCGTAAAAAGGTGGGCAAGTGGATGTCACTCTGCCGTACAGTAGGTTACAAGTGGGTCACTGTAATGGATGGTATTAAATTTGAATTTAATGATATAATATCATTGTATATACGGAGAAGACGGTTATACACGGTTAAGTATACACTATTTGATTATACTATTGGGAATAAAGTACTTAGGTAATTAATTTCAGTATTAGGAATTATAGTATTTACTATAGTAGGTTTTTTTTCTTTATTTGTAATAAACAATCTGTACCTTTGGGGCACAATAGGCTTATGTGACTAAAGTTAATTAATATAACATGCTAGACTTGATGTGAGAAGACATCCAGTAATGACACTCACTAATTGATT